AGAATTCGGGTTTGCTCCGGCGGTGAAGGGCAGGATTCTAATACTTCTTTTCCATTTTTTTCGCTTTTGGGTATTGGTTGTCGAATAAACGGATCAGAAATGGGCAATGCAATCGGATTAAGTCTAGCCACCTTGCTCCAAGTAAGTCCGACTATTCTCCTTTATCGATCATATCCTGTTGTGTGGAGCTATACTAATCTGGACTTTTCTTCATTCAAAGGTTCAAGTCACTAGAGGAAGAGCGCGAGAAGAAGGAGTGATTGTCAGAGATGATTTGGTGAGTACTTCCCAGATTGAAGTTCAACTATCATTGTTTGATGCGGATATTGAAATTTACCTCCCCTCTTACGAACAGACTGTGGCAAGCCCTGCGGCCTTTTTGGAAGGATTGAGGGCGGGCTTTTGGCTTTGCTTCGCCGCTTTATGTCTGGGTATGTTTTTTTCTTCTTATGTTTCCCCCTCATCAATCCGAGATTTCGGGGGGTTTCCCTATGAGCTGCAAGAATAAGAAAAATTATTAATTGCTTTTATCAACCATATTTGAACTCAATAAAAAAAAACTTTCATAGCAACTTTGCTCTCGCTAGTCTTCTTGCGCAAATTGAAGCTACTTGGAAAGAAGAAATCGGTCGACTCATCAAGCTCATCGATAGAAGAAAAGGGCGAACAAAAAATCGAAAGTGAGGGCAGTGAGACCACCTCCATCTAGTCCCCGTGACTCCCTCTCATCTCAAATCAATCCTCTTATATGTCCCACCTCTTTATGTTAATCCTATGTATAGTGAGAAAAAAAGACAATTAAAGATAATTAAGGTCATCTAATGCTTAGCAGACAATCAATCGATACTGTAAATAGAAACATATTATTTTTAAAGTGCTCGAGGTTTAGCGAAATATTGATTTCTAGGTAAAATAATTCTTCCATTCCAAGATAGAAAAAAGGACTCATCCTAACCGTAAAACAAGAAATAAAGTAGCCCACTTGAAGATGATATGTGCTTTGCAGAGTACTGGTATGTTTCCTAAAAACCAATCTGATACGCAAAAAAAAGAATGCAGTTTCGAGTCATTAGTCAGATACTTTTTGTCCTTCATGTTATTATCACCGTAGCTGATCATCAAATCTGAAGTAGTCAAATCAATGGTTTGATTTCTTAAACCTTTGTTTTAAAATATAACTCATTCGGCCTTTTTTCAATTGCACCACCCTTACATGGTGAATACCATTGCCGTGAATGTTTATTGTTCAACTCATCTCTCAATGATGCCCCACAAAGGAAATGACGAGTCAGCTGTGATATATGAGCTTCCCCTCAAGGGCCAGACACCTTATGGAAACTATCTAATCAAGGAGGAAGCATAACGCCTATGGGTTTGGATTTCACAACTTGAAACAAGCTTAGCAGAGCGACTACTATATCTACAGCAAGCTAAAAATTCACAAAACACAATAGGAAAATGCAAATAGAAGATATTTGATGGATTAAAAGTGTGAGGACCCAAGTATATATCATCATTTGATAGAAACGAGGGGTTTGTTTGGTGGTTTGGGGGTGGATCTCTATTCAATAAAAACAGAAAAACTGAGAGGAATTTTAAGCATCTTGATCATCGTAGTGATCCCATGTGGGACGACCTCTGGGTGACCTGACTCTGCTTCAATCTCATGACATAATGGCCATTTCAACGCAACCCCATTCGCATTAGCATCGGGGTCATAAAAAAGATATGAAAAAGTGTGATGAAAGGAACCGGATTCTTTGAATTTTCAAACAGCTGTTGGAAGACTGTTAGGAATAGAATCGTGCCTTTGGCCACTGGATGGATGTCATCCAAATCGTGCAGAGAAGCGGATCGAACGCTCGAGGATTTGAGAGGATGAGGATCCCCCGATTCCTCGCCCATTTGTCTATTTCTTTCGTCCGGCTTGATCGTGTCGGCAGAAAGAGGTGGCAGCGGAGTGCTTTCGGTTAGTGGCTTAATGTTCTTCTCGGGAGAGCTTTCTGAAGCTATTCTTGCCTCACTTTTTCCGGCTTTCGAGGCAGAGGGAGGACGCTCGATGATCTCATAATCCTCATCGGTCAGCTTGGCCAAGGCTTCCTTTTCGTCTTTAGGATCCCCGCCAGCACCCCTCGTTAGATCAAGTTTCTTGATATCCCCAACTGTTCCCGACGGCCCCTCGAAATAGTCGTGGATAGGATACGACCTGGCTCGGAAGCCGAAATCTCCGACTTTGTCAACAATCGGAAGATCTGGCTTCGGAACACCTCGAATCGGAACCTGTCGATTGCTCATGGGTGCTGAGAGACCGGTCTTAATACCAGTTGTCATCTACACAACAAATAGAAGTAGACTCAGATTCCTGCTTGATAAAGCAAGCCCATTGCCAAAAAGATAAGTCAACTCAACTATGACAAGGATTGGTAAAAGCAACATTTTTCTTTTTGTTTCTCTTTCCAGAATTCAGATCAATTAGGCAATCAAAATGTGACGGGATGAAAGGATGAGAATCTGATACAGAAATAGGGAACAAATGAAGCAATTTGTCAGTCTGCTTTTAATACCTATTCAGAGACTGTCTGGCTCACTAGCCATCAGTACAAAAAGAGACAATGTCAGGCTGTGTTTGCTTTGTTGTAATTGAGTATGCCAACCATTGTATTCATTGATTTCCTCACATGTGGAGCTATTTGCTGCAATACAATCCAAGAGATTGGACTTGCTTTGACCATGCTTATCATGCTTGATTACTATACAACAAACAAGACTTTACACCTGTGTTATAGAAATAAAACATGATCAAACATGTAGTGATACCTCATGACTTATTATGAATTTTGTTCAAGTGTAGGTAAAGAGGTAGTATTACATCACACAAACTTTATTTATTCATGTTACAGTATTATTTCCCTTCCAATGGGGGGGGGGGTTCAAATTTTGAGGAGGCCTATCTGATGACCTTATTTGCCCCCAACTTTGGGGGGCTTTAAATTTCAATGAAGCTTGAGTGGGACATCTGTCTGAGTCTAATGTTTAGATGTTGGGGTTAGATTGCCTGGCTGTTTGCTTGACTCTCTGAGCCTATTTCTTTTTAGTTATATAATATTAATATAAGAAGACATCTGAAGAGAAGAAAAACACACAAAAAATAATCTGTATCTACTACAGACTACAGTGTCACACCCAAATTCTTGACTACTTGAAACTTGCAAAAAAAAGTAAGTTGAACTTTGGACTTCTTCCCTAAATCAAATTAGTCTACAGCCACAGTCACACACCACACATTTTTGAGCTTTACAGAAGTATGAAAAAGCAAAAGACATCATTCAAATCTCTGTACTTAAACTCTAAAATTGGTTGATCTTTTCACATTACAGAATTTGGAACAACTGCCTATAGTCTCTGGTCATGAGAATTTAATATGTGCTTATAGGACTGTTAGAAAGCCTAAATGGGATGCATTTACTCTGATTAATCTCACTTCAAATGATCTAAATTCAACCTGTTTGAGCCCACCTTATCTAGGTTGAATTAATCCCATTTAATGTCCCGTCAAATAAGTTAAATCCAACCTATTCCATTCCACTATAGTTGAAGCAGTGCAACCTAGTTAAAGTGGGATTGCATATTTCAGAGAATATCCATCACAAGAGTTGAAACTTGGTTGCTACAAGTTCACTGTAGCAACTCATTTGTCAGATCTAACAACCCACACGGATTTTCCATCCACCAGTGCTTGCTACACTATCCACCATTACCCCCTCAATGATGCCAGTCATCAAGATTAAAGAACTTATTATATTGACCTCAATTTCTGGTCTTTACTGGTCACCAAGCCTAAATTATATATTGTGATGACCAATCTCTGACAGTCATGGACACTTGACAATCCAAATTGATCTTGATGATCTGCTGGTACCAGCGGTGGGCAGATACATTACGGTACGTTACAGCAGGGGATTTGGAGAACGTAACTTTTTTTTAGTTATCCAAATCTGTTGTTTTTGTAAAGTAACTAAATTTGGTTGTAAAGTAAAGTAACGTAACCAATTTTATTTTTTCCATATATTTTTTTGGGGTAACGTAACTTACTTGGGTGGAGGGTGTAATGAGAGTTTGAAGGGCAAAATCATATTGCATATAGCTTAACACCACGGTCATTTGCGTGTCCCCGCGGATGTAACCGTCACCTTGACGAATCCGCGTGCGTGACTGCGGCAGTAGGCGCAGTGACTGCGCACGAAACCCCCAGATGTCGCTCCGCGCGGGAGCGACATGCAATTGTCCGTGGTGTAATGGTCAAAGAGTGCCTCACATGTGCATTGAATATGTGGAGGTTGTGGGTTCAATTCTCACACCAGACATCTTTTGACCTGGCTTGCTGGTGAGATGATAATCACTGATTGGTTTATGATCATATTGTGCGAATTACCTCGCTCCTAATGAACAAAACCATCAAGAATCAGTGTATCTCCAGCAAAGTTACCCTTAATTTATCCAAATCTTGGAAATTCTGTAACGTAACCCTGTTTTGTTCAGAATTTCTGGGAACGTAACTAGAAAAAAATGGGGCCTTTTGCTCCAGTAGATATCGTAACTGAAATAAAGATATCTGTAACTTGTGGTTAACGTAACTGTAAACGTTACGTTACAGTCAACGTTATCCATTTGGGTAATGTATCTGCCCATCGCTGCTGGTACCAACACTGCCACAGATACGGTATCTGCCCGTATCTGCCATGTATCACTATGTATCTGAGCCCCAATAAAAAAAATCTATCTGACCAATCTGCTTTTATTTGAAAGGAGATTCAACAAATTTGGTTTTTGGCCATGCAGCTTTGCAGAATTCTCCATGATACACACAGTGTATCGTATCTGTGGCAGCGTTGCTGGTACCTGTGAATGGTCATCAAGTCTTGATAAGTGGTCTGCATTCTAGATGATCAAGAGGAACCTATACATTCTCACTTGATGGACAGTGTCAGTACAGACTGGTCATCAATAGCAACATCTGATATACCCTTAGAGAAGGATCTGTACTGGTCATTGTAACTAAATGGGGGTGAAAATTTGTATGTATAGCGTTAATTTGGTGGGTTGGAGGAGGAGAGATGATGCAGCTTGAAGGGGACATGAGGTTGCTACCCAGTTGCTAGAGGGTTGCTACATGCGGAAACCCAATGACAATTCTTACCTCTGGAGGTGAAGTAAAACCTTGTCTGGCAGCCCAGGTGGGAGGTGTTTCTTTTTGGGTTAGGTTTCTAAACATGGGATAGCAGCCTGGCTTAGCTCCCAAGGTGGATATGCTCTGAGATTCAATCTAGCTAAAGTGGAATTTAAAAGGTCAAATCAACGCTGGGCCAGCTACGCTAACCGTAGTGTTAGTGTGGCGTAGCACAGCGGAAATGTGCTACTGTAGCGTAGCGTTAGCAAAAAATCCACCTTTCTGCGCTAACGCTACGTGCCAAGGGCACAAAAGTGCGTTAGCTGTTAGCGCATAAAGTTGGAATTGCGCTAACGCTACGCGCTCAGGGCACCAAAAAGTGCCCGCTATGCCGCGCTACAGCGCTTTTTAGCGGGTTTTTTGCCTTTTTTGCCGCTAAAAGCGCTGTAGCACAGCGTAGCAGCTGTAACGATGCGCTAACACTACCCAGAAACAAGCCACCTGTTAGCGGTGCTACAGTGTAGCGTAGCGGCGGTAGCGGCACGCTAACACTACAGAAAAAAGGGCCTGTTTTAGCGCTGCTACGCTAACACTAAGTGGCCCTTTAGCGTAGTGTAGCGCAGCGGCCCGGTGTTGGTCAAATCAAAGGCAGTTTATTGGTCCTTATTTCCAAATATTTTTCTTGTGTTCTTAACTAAAATATAGTGAAACAAAATCAGAGCCACAATCATGTATTCCTACCCACATCTGGGGCATGGGTAGGTAAGCACAGATTTATGGTGGCTTGAGCATGTCACCAGACCATGCAGCAATGGGAAGTTATGTCAATTTGTGTTACAACTGCCTTTGTTGATATCATACCTTTTTTGTTCTTAATTTTTGCTTTGTTTGATGACATTACCTTCTTTTCTATGTTGGATAATGTATGGTACTTGTTTCAAATTCAAGTTTTTTTTTCTTGATGAGTCACGTAACCTTGGCTTTTTTTTGGACTGGGAATGTGATTTGAAGGGTCACATTACTTGGTACCAAGAAACTATGAGAATATTGTTGGATGGAGAAGATGAGTGAACAGCTTGGGTCTAAACTTTGGGCTGGCCCACTCAGAGCTTTTTCCAACCCACATGTTCAGTGCCATCTTTGCATGTGTATCAACAAAGGGAGTTCAACCAATTTATTTTTCCTTCTTCAAATCACTCTTCAATTCTGCCCTCTTACACTCCACTCCTCATCAATCTCTTCAGACCTGTTTCATCCATTTCTTCAAATCAGCTCATTCAATTGATCACCTCAAACTGAATTGGTTGTTTCAGCAACACTTGAAAATATGAAGTTTGATTCATCATTGACCTCATTCTTCTCTTTGTATTAGATACTTGCTCCTTTTTTTAACTGTGAGAGGTTGGCCTGTTGTTTCCTTCACACTCAAATTGAGCCCAAGATGTACTCATAATGAATTGAAAGAAACAGTGCCTGCCTTCATCTCCCACAGGCAAAAAAGAGGAACAAGTATCTTAATAAATAAGAATGTCAGGCCACTAATGATTATGATGAATATTAGTTACTTTTTCAAATTTTATGATAAAGTAACTTGGAAAGGGGTGCATTGATTAGATAAAATAACTGATTTCAGTTATCCAATCTTTGAATGTTGGTATTGTAACCCATAGACCAGTTACCTGTAACTGCCTGATAAAATAACTAAGAAGTGTATGTTACAGTTATGTTAAATTCCCAGGTACAGGCACCGTATCTGCCCATCAATTCCAAATGCCAGGTCCCTACAGAGGGTATCAAAACGGTTTTACAGTCCTCAGTTTTTCTTTTGGAATTTTACTGATTTCATTTGTTTCTTAGTTTGATGAGAATAGAAACATTCTAATATACTTTTGTAAAAATGAAAGAATGATGATTTTTATCTAAGAGCAGAACACACAGCCATTACTTTAAGGTTATAAAAATGATGAAACTAATCCCAAGATTGGTGCTGTTGTCTTCTTAGTTTGCCTAATTTTGAGTGGGGCAATGATAAAGACTTCTTCCTTCTGTTTTTAAAGCTGATGTCAGTTATTTGTCATAGTTTCTCCTTTTCTAATCTTGAAAGACTTCTGTACTCACCTCCTTCTGCCCCTTTTGCATCATCGGACTTCTCTTCCTTTATTTC